ATAGGCAAAAAACAGTTGAAATAGATATTTTTTAGCTGTACGAAGAAAACTTGACAATCAAGACGTCACAAAAAGGAGTATAGTAGAACCAAAACCAATGCACAATGGTCCCAGCCGTATTTACCTAGGAAGACAAAAATGTTTGCGCTCAAACTGTCAGTTTTAGGTATATGGTTTCTTAGGGAAAGTTGCTTCATATTTTTTGTTCAATCTTTTTATGTTCGTAAAATTAGGGTGGTCCATAAAATTGGTGAATTAAAAATACAAACTATTTATAATTTGAGATAGACCAAAGCAGTGTTCTAAACAGTTGTAGAACATTAAATTCAAAGCAACTTTGTGGAAGACACAATGTTTTTATCTCTTATGGTTCATGAGTTATGATTTTTTAAACAAGCAGGTTAGGGTGGCTACTAAAATCGATTTTCTTTGAATATCTTTTCATGCGTTAATTTCTTGCAAAAACATTGTTGTGATTACACTTAGAACTTTTGATGACGCATATTTTTGCTCAAGCAACTAGGTTACTATCTTTTTTGATTAGAAAGTTAAAGGCTATTTTCTTCGAAAAAATGACTCTTTTCAATTGTCAATACAGGTCGGACTCGATTATCCGGAGTATTGATTTATTTTTACTCCGGAAAGTCAAATCCTCCGGATAATTGAATCACAAAAAAAAAATCAAATCTGCTCCTCCTCTTAGCTACATCCAATATTGTTAAAATAATCATATTGTTTATTATAATACTAAATTATTTCAAATGTCTGCATAAAAACTAAAAAAAAAAACGCAAAAAAAATACTCCGTATAATCGAGTTTAAAATTCCGGATAATCGAGTCCCGGATAATCGAGTCTCCGGATAATCGAGTCTCCGGATGATCGAGTCCGACCTGTAATCATATTGTATATTATAATACTAAATTATTTCAAATGTCTGCATAAAAACTAAAAAAAAAAAATACTCCGGATAATCGAGTCTAAAATTCCGGATAATCGAACCCCGGATAATCGAGTCTCCGGATAATCGAGTCCGTTCTGTATTAATCCTTTGGAAACATCGTTTTTTTTTCATTTTTGGTAAAAAACTGCAAGAGCTTTTTGTGTTTAAAGCATTTAATTAAATTTAAAAAAAAAGTAATATGTTTTCAACAAAACTAGTCATAACTTTTCAAATAAAAGAGATAACAACTTAGCAAAAATATGCGTCATAAAAAGTTCTTAAAGTATATGGTATAAAAATGTCACGAGAAATCAACGTATAAAAAGATATTAAAAGAATGCTGATTGTCTAGGGGCCACCCTAACCTGCTTGTTTAAAAAAATCAATACTCATGAACCATAAGAGATATATATATACATATATATGGTGCGTGTGTGTATGAGTGTGCGTATTGGTGTGCTTTGAAAAAGGCATTGTGAAGCTTGCTACGGTATACACCGCAGATTATATAACTTAGAAACAGATTTTTTCAAAGAACACTTTACTTGTTATTCCTAATTTCAACATGTTTCGCAAAAAATCGCAAAACACATTAAGACCCATCTGAAAGCTAACTTTTTTAGCTATCTTTTGGTTACTAAATGATAGTGGGCGGATGTGTCCGTCATATGTTTTGCTTAGTCTAAATGCGAAAAAAGTATATTTTTACTAAATTTTATATCAGAAACTGTCACTTAATACACTAAGACACTCTTTTTTTACATCTATTTGACGTGAAATAAGCCGAGGAACATTTCTTCTGAAGCAACCAAGTTTATAAACACATTATTTTTTGCTATATTTGAGCAAAACAGTAACAATAAACATAACGATTTTTTTCAAAAATTTTTGATATCTCTACACTATAACAGCCATAAAAAAATATTTAATCAACAGAACTGCACAAATCATTCAATTTAAGATACTCTTAACATGTAAAAATGATAAAAAAATATTGAAATAAAAAAATATCAACTTTAATTTTTGAGGTTTTGGCCAGCCAGGAACCACTGTGCATCGGGGTCAGGGAGAATCTCAAATACCCTACAATAGGGTATTTTCGGAACGGGAACAACGCGTCGATGCTAAACATCGATATCCGACACTATGTTGGAATCCAATATGGCGGCCATCAGGATTAAGAAAGTATCAAATATTCTACAATATGGGTATTTTCAGAACGGGGACGACGCATAGATGCCGAAAATCGATATTCGACGCCATTTTGGAATCCAAGATGGTGGCCATCAAGTTTCATAAAACGTGTCAAATATCCTAAGATATGCGAGGGGGACGACTCTATCTACGATGCAGGAAATATTGTGTTTTGCTGTGGCTAGCTGCGCGTACGCTGAGTAGATAGAAAGAAGGTCTATCACGATTTTGAAGATTTCCTGCAAAAAGATGATGCGCGATGCAAGTAGATGCGAGAAATGAAAGAAGATTTTTCGAAGATTTATTCGGTAGTGTGAGATTTTTTGAGCATCTAGAATTGAGATTTAGATGTGTCGCCCCCATCGAAGATATGGGTATTTTCGGAACGGAGACAACGCGTGACTGCCGAAAATCGATATCCGATGTTGGACTTCAATATGGCGACCATAGGGTTTCAAAAAAGTGCCAAATACCCTATAATATGGTTATTTTCGGAACAGAGACAACGCGTAGATGCCGAAAATCGATATCAGATACCACTTTGGAATCCAATATGGCGGCCATCAGGGTTCATAAAGTGTCAAATACCCTATTATATGGGTATTTTCGGAATGGCGACAACGTGTAGATGCCGAAAATCGATATCCGATGCCATTTTAATATCCAATATGGCGGCCATCGGGTTTCCCAAAAAGTGTCAAATACCCTAAGATTTGGGTATTTTCGGAACGAGGACGACGCATAGATACTGAAAATCGATATTCGATGTCATTTGTAGGCTTTTTGATACCTCTTCTGAAATTGGAAGCCACCATCGTGAATTTCAAGAATTTCGATTTATGGCTTCTAGATGTCAGCCTGATTCTACAAAAAACCCACATTGATCGATATTTGACAGTATTTCACAGTTTTTCTGAACCAAAGCCGTTATCTTGGATTTAAAGACGGCGTGACATCAATTTTCGGCTTACGTCTCATCCCCATTCTGAAAATAACCATATTTTAGGGTATTTGACACTTTTTCGCAAATCGGATGCCGCCGTCTTGGATTACAAAATGGCGTCGGATATGGATTTCCGGCTTCTAGACGTTACCCTGATTCTAAAAACAACCGTTTGTATGGGTATTTGATATAATTTACAACTTTTTTTCAAACCGGAAGCCGCCATCATGGATTTCAAAATAACGTCAGATATTGATTTCCAATCTCCAGACGTCAGCCCGATTCCAAAAATGCCCATATTGATAAGACGGCATCAGCATTTCCCATTTTTTCTGAAGTAGGAAGCAGCCCTATTGGATTTAAAAATGGCGTCGGATATCGATTTCCGGTCTCTAGACGCCATCCCGATTCCAAAAATACCTATATTGATGGGTATTTGACAATTTTTCCCATTTGTTCTGAAATTGGAAGCCGGCATCTTAGATTTCGAAATGGCGTCGCATATTAATTTTCGATCTGTAGACTTCATACCGATTATTAAAATACCAATATTGATGTGTATTTGACTGTATTTCCACTTTTTCGTAAATAGGAAGCCGCCATCTTCGATTTCAAAATGGCGTCGGATATCGATTTTCATCCTCTAGACATCATCCCGATTCCAAAAATACCTTTATTGATAAGTATTTGACAGCATTTCCCACTTTTTCTTAAACTGCAAGACGCCATCTTGGATTTCAAAATGGTGGCGCACGCATTTTAATTTTCGATCTCTAGACGTCACCCCGATTAAAAAAATACCCTATTGATGGGTAAACAAACCACACGACAATGATAAATTTGACATCCACGTGCACAGATCTATGCGCATACGCTTAAATGAACCGAGTGAACAATCAACAACAAGCTTCGCTTCAATGCAGAAGAAAGTTCATTTGACAATGAAAGAAGAAATGAACACTAGTCAAGCCAAGACAAACAGCATGAAAACTGATCGAAAGTGGTTCTGTTGATGTTCACGGGGATCTGCTCGAAGAAAAGACAGAATGACTTTCAATTGAAAATGATGGTTGACAGCTGCATAGTCACTTGACGATTTTCGATTGAAAGCGAGGGGGGCGACACAGCTAAATCTCAAGTTTAGATGCTTAACAAATCTCACACTAGCGAATCAATCTTCGAAAAATCTTCTTTCATTTGTCTCATCTACTTGCATCGCTCATCATCTTTTTGCAGGAAATCTTCAGAATCGTCATCAATCTTCTTTCTATCTACTCAGCGTGCGCGCAGCTAGCCACAGCAAAACACAATCTTTTTTGCATCGTAGATAGAGTCGTCCCCCTCGATTGAAAGTGACTTTATGGAGCCCTGCGATCATACTACCAAAACAAAGTTTTATACCACAAGCATGTCAAAATACAATATCATACCACATTAAGATATTCATATGTAATCGGTGAGTTATCGCTTCTTGCTCGGGCAGCTCTAATTTTACCATGACGGCACTGCTTCAGAGATGACCAACGAGCTCCAGACGACTTTTTGTTCTTCTTCTTCGCATGTCAAGCTTATTGCGTGCTCTCAACTTAGTGTTCTAGATGCACTTCTACAGTTATTAATTGAGAGTTTTCGATGCCTTGACCATTTTTACATTAGTATTAGTAGTTATTTATTTTAAAATTTGTCCTTCAAAGGATCGGAATGGAGTCTTTAGATAATTAAAATTGGAACCTTAGTTCAATTCAGACTAAGTGGATCTACACAACGACAGTCCAAATTTGAGATTCCTCGCCAAATCGGCGAAAGTCGCGTAGTCGTAGTAACCACTTTCCTATACAATTTGACCTTGTGAAAAATACCCCACATTACCCAAATATTTGTGCATCCTGCTCAATAATGTTATTTGTTCGTCTCTTTCCAGATTTCCTGTGACGTATAGAAGCATGAAATACCTTTTAAAAAACTGTGCCCGCAAGTGATCGAATCCATTCCGTGATTCCGCTGAAGAACTACGCCGCAATCGGCAAGTGAATTTGTCAGTGTAATTTCCTTCCAATCAACCTTCTCCAGAAAGGGAGGGAGAAAGAAATTATTCAAGTGTGATTTTTCCGGATTTGTTTACATCACCACCGTAGCAAACCGCGCGCACATAGGCGCTGCAAAGTGATTGAAAGAAGTAAACTACGAAGAAGCTAAAAAAAGCAGAAGAAGTAAGGGTAGGGGTTGAAGATTGTGAACCTTTTGTTTCACGTGTTCCAGCGGGGTGACTACTGCGCGCCTTGGGTGTGCTGTTGTAGCAAAAATAGGCACTCAAACGACCGCCACCCCACGAGAAGAAAGGTGTTTTCAGCGGAGTCTTGCAGTGTACCTAAAATTAGTACACCAGTGGTCCGGTGTCGGTGCAAAAGTCAATACCTCTGGAGGTGGTTCTGAGCGCAGCAGTTGGAAATGTTCATTTGTTTATAAGCAAAGAAGCGCGAGGAAGAAATTTAAGAATTTTCATCAAAACAACACACTGCTCGGAGTGATTAGTGCGAGCGGAAGAGTACCAGAAGCCGAGTGTGTTGAATGTGTGAAGATTTTCATTCATGGGTTTTTTTTTCTGTGACCGGGGTAATTTCCTTGGATTGTTGTGAACAAAAGGCTGTTGAGAAGAGTATATAAGGTGAAAGCCGAAGTTCTGTTTTTTTTTGTGGGATTGATAAATTGGTGCTTTTTCAAACGCGTGATGTCAACTGATTGCTGCTGTCCCATTCGAGGTGAGTTATTTTAGAAATTAGTTTGTTACAATGTACTAGAGCGAGAGCAGAGCATTGTTCTGCCTCCATTTGTCTGTGGTTGAGCACGTTTCGAGGAGAAAAACACGCGCTCGCAGCCCAGCTTCATAAAAGTGTTATTCCCTGCTGCTCGGGGAGTGCATTCCCCCCACGGACTATTGTCATCAGCGCATGGTCCTAATGTGGATAGTTCATAAAGCGACACTCAAACATAAATGAAGAAACCCAAAAAAAGAGTACAATTATTATTAGCTTTCCATTTATGCACTGGCTGATGCCCGGTGCTTCTTACGGTTTATTTATTCAGTTTAGCGCATACGAAAACAAACCTCACAAAGCACTTTTGTAATAGCATTCCGTGCCTTGCTCCAGCGCGAGTCTTTAATTGCAGTTACCCCACCGCCGGTTTTGGTTCTAGTCTAGGCCGCCGCCCCCCGAGGTTTGTGTTTCTTTTCCTTCGATGTTGTGGGTTCTTTTGGGTCCATTATTAATATTATTGTTATGCACACGTCGACTCGACTGTCGGTTTTTAACGAGTCTGGTTGGAAAGTACTTAGTAATTCTATTCTTTTCTCATACATGGCTTTAGATAATGGCCGGGATCCAACCGGAGTGTGAAAAGACGAGGAAGAAACCTTGAACTGTCGCGCCTCTCTTGCTGTTCGTTGGATGTGTGCTGAGAGATGGTGATGGGACGGTGGGGAAGTGTTGAGTTTTCACACATTTTGATTTGGCAGGGAAAAAGAAGCCAAAATTGAATCTGTGTCACTGATGTTTAAATGCAAAACTGAGATCAGCGTATGGCGCCACCATCCGTCGTCGAAAGTTGATTTTTACAGCCTTGTTTTGGGGCATTTGCAGCGCGCAAATTTCAACTCACACCGTTCTAACATCTCCGGCTAAAAATTTAAATGATTCGTCATGTGCACAGGTTTTCGAATGCTTCCTTCTGTTAACATTTTGGTAAAATGAGCGTTTGTCGTCCAATCAACACCCGCCATTCAATTTCACGATTGTAAGACAGCTGAACATCTTCACGGAATCGGATGATGAGTGTTTTGATCTGTAATAAATGTCATCTGCTTTGCTGTCATGGTTTCCGTTGGCGGAAAGTTATAATGAACAGAAGATCTCCTAAAAGTCCTCTAAATTTCCTTAGGGAAAATGCGTAAATGACGTAGTATTCGAGGAGTAAGGGGGATGTCAGAAGTTGTGACCAGCCATGTATTACGTATATCAAAATACGCTACTAGGGGGAAGCTAAACTGATGATTCACTGTCACTTTGGTTACTCCAAGCATTGTAGACATGTTTCGAATATTCCAATGAGAATGGCAATTGATGAATAACAGCAAAATGATGCTCAATGACATCTGTTAGCACAAACTGTGACCTACATGAGTAAAAAATTGCAAATCTTACTATATGTTTTAAACTATCCGCATGGTGCCAAAATCGAACAGGTTCTGTATTACTGATTTTTCGCGAACAAATTGATCGGATCCTTGAACCAATTGTGTTATTGAAAGTAGCATGACAAATGCTCATGTGAGTGTTTATAAAACTTATCGAAGTGGTTTCCAATCTATGAAAGATTGGAATCATATCTTTCCGATCAAAAAATGTCACTATTTGGTCACTATTTTCGTTATTTGAGTCACTAAAGTCACTACCAGCACTGGAACCGCCCGTCTGATCTTTGAACTTCATCAAAGTTCTCAAGACTTCGGTGAATTGCTCAGAACTTTTTGAAAGTTCCCGTGTCATTTGTAATCCTCTCTTTCGCTCCAGTCAAAAATGTTGGTTTGTTATTGTTATCCTCGCTTTCGGACCATCAATACTCGCGCGCAAAGAATGGACTATACTCGCACAAACAAACCAAACAAACGAGATTTTAAACATCAGCATTCATTCATCTGCGTGTCGCTTTTTTTTCGGTCTAGCTCTTTTCATCCCACGGGTGGAAACGAAAGGAGAAAAGAGAGACATTAGCATTAGCATTAGCATCAAACAAATGCACAATATCGTAGGTGGCACGAATTCAAAACTATTAAGAGCAAGACGAATATCTGTAACTGGACAGATAGTAAGTAGGAAATAATTACTATCTCCCAGATAAAGGCATAGGGGAAAAGTTGGCTTCGGCAATACCTTAACCTATTATCGTCAGGGGGGTAAACAAAGTCCTAGAGCACTCAAATTTGGCCAATAATTGCTCTGAAACACAATGTATCCACATGCCAAATTGGAGCTCTCAAGGACGTTGTTTACCCCCCTGACGATAATAGGTTAAGGTATTGCCGAAGAAAACTTTTCCCCTATCCCGCTCCAACAGTTAAGGATTGTCCTGTCGAAAGGAGAAAAGAGAGACATAAACAGAAAAAAAGCGAGAGAGACGCTTGAGGAAAAGAGCGAACATCAGTGAATGGGAAATCAGATTTGACAGCAGCGGCTTAATTTGCTATAGCCGGGGCTCTTGAATCGTAGTGAGCCGCCGTTCAAATTTGAGCCGTGGTTCGTTTGAGAGGTGCGGTTCAATTTTGTAGAACCATGGCTCGTATGCTCTTTTTTTCGAACTGGATCAAATAAGCGGTTCGTGAGCGTATGCCCATCTCAAATCGGAAGTGGTTACCACAATACGGGGGACCTTTTTCATCTTGGCATTAAGTTGGGAATGTTTAATGGAATACAAATGGTGAGTCGACAAACTGGAAGGAGTGTTGTCCCAACAGCTCTGGTCCTCACAAGTTCCTACCTCACGCTTCCACGGGTCAGCCGATGACAAAGACCGCCAGCAAAAGATGCTGGTAGCGTAGCCTGGGCAATGTCACCACGATAAAAACATGGATCCGGATCGTGGTGATAGCAAAGTGAGGAGGTGCGACCCTCGAGCGTCTGTTCACCATGGAGGTGCGGCTCAAACAGCGTCTGTCTCGGAGCGAGCGGCTGAATAAGAAATGCTGTATCACGTCAGCTACACCTAAGGTGGCAGCCCCACCAACATGATGTAGGTATCGCGACCCCGGTAAGGTAGCATACTGAAACCCCCAACATTACTCAGAAAAACGAAGAAAGAGAAAACAACGAACGGAATTTTCGGCAACCGACCCGGCAACGAAATAAGGACAATGAATGGAAACTCGGTACTTGGAATGTCAGAACCTTAAATGAACCTGGACGAGCGGGCCTTTTGGCTCGTGAACTGCAAAAAGTGAATGTGAGCGTAGAACATGGAGTAGGGTTCATAGTGATCGGGAAGCAGATGAAGCGTGTTATGCGGTGGAGACCGGTAAGCGACCGCATCTGTGTATTAAGGATTCGGGGCAAATTCTTCAACTACAGCCTGATCAACATCTATGCGCCAACCAACGATAAATCCGATGACGTGAAGGACGCGTTTTATGACAGTCTCGATAAAACTTATGATGAGTGCCCAAAACACGACGTGAAGATTGTAATCGGAGATGCAAATGCGCAGGTCGGGAGGGAAGATTTCTTTTGTCCAATCATTGGTACAGAGAGCCTACATACAATAACCAATGATAACGGCCTGAAACTGATAAACTTCGCCGCTGCTAGAGGTATGGCCATCAGTAGCACCTACTTTGCACGCAAGAATATCCGAAAGCACACCTGGAGACACCCAAATGGCGAAACTTGCACCCAGATCGATCACATGTTGGTGGATGGCCGGCACTTCTCAGATGTCATTGATGCAAGGACTTTTAGGGGGCCTAACATTGACTCAGATCATTATCTTGTTGTCTGCAAAATTCGGGCGCGTCTATCGACCGTTACGAATTCAACGAACCGGAGATCGATGCGTTTCAATATCCATCGCTTGTCAGGAGAAGGTGTTGCTGCAGAGTACCGCCAGAAGCTTGATGAGCGGATTAGCGAAATCAACGTGAACGAGGACAATCTGTGGAACACAATCCACGGAGCGGTGAACACAACAGCACAAGAAGTGATAGGTACAGCTCAAAGACGACCACGTAATGGCTGGTTTGATGAGGAGTGCCAGAGGTTGACGGATGAGAAGAACGTTGCCAGAAGCCGGATGTTAGTGTCTGGTACCTGGCTGAACAGAGAGCGGTACAAGGTAGCAAGGGCAGCTGAGAAACGAACCCACCGCAGAAAGAAAAGGCAATACGAAGAACGCGTGATTGCTGAGGCGCAAGAAAGTATGGAACAGAACGATATGCGAAGGTTCTACGCGACTGTCAATGGTGTGCGGAGTAAAACAGCGCCATCTCCCGCCATGTGCAATGACCTTGAGGGGAATTTGGTGACAGATAAAACAATGGTGGCTGCCAGGTGGAAAGAACATTTTGAGACATTGTTGAATGGAGAGAGTGAGGGAGTATCGAGGAACAGAGTAAACATCGCAGACGACGATCAAGCTGTGGAGCCTCCAACGCTAGACGAGGTTAAAAAGGCAATACGTGAGCTGAAAAACAATAAGGCTGCTGGGAAGGACGAGCTCCCGGCCGAACTTTTCAAACACGGAAGTGAGCAGCTGCATCAAGCAATCCACCGTATTCTAACGAAGATATGGGAGGACGAAGAACTGCCTGCTAGCTGGTTGGATGGCCTCATTTGCCCATTATTCAAAAAAGGGCACAGACTCGAGTGCGCCAATTATCGAGGAATAACTCTTCTGAATTCGGCGTACAAAATACTGTCACGCGTTCTGTTTAACAGATTGAGACCGCTTGAGGAGTCCTTCGTCGGTGAATACCAGGCTGGTTTTCGTGAGGGCCGATCAACGACGGATCAAATGTTTACCCTGCGTCAAATCCTTGATAAATTCCGGGAGTACAACTTGCAGACTCACCATCTGTTTATTGATTTCAAAGCAGCATACGATTCAGTGAAGAGAAATGAGCTTTGGCAGATTATGCTAGAACATGGTTTTCCGGCGAAACTAATTAGACTGATTCGCGCAACGCTAGATGGATCGAAATCAAGTGTAAGGGTTG